AAAGCCAGCCCTGGAGCTGCTCCTCCGGCGGTGCTGGCAGCCCGGCTCAGCCCAGAGACGCTCCCCAAGCTCCCCAATCATTCCCTGAGCAAGGGATTCGCAGAGCAATGACCGTGCCCGAGGCGGAGCAAAGGCATGTGTGGGCGTGCGTGTGAGGCCGAGGGAAGACGATGCCATTACCATGTGCCAGAGGGTTTAGAGCTACGGTTTCAAGAGCTGTGTGACCGTTCATGCCAAAGGCTGGATTCCCACTGTATCTCTGGAGGGGAGAAATGAAAGAAATTCCCTAACAAATCAATTAGAAACACCTCTTGGGAACTAATAATCCCATTATAAAACATCTTGAAAATAGAAAGGCCTTTTCCCTCTCCCTCACCTCTCCCCCTCTTGCCTGGGTCACCCGAGGATGACGGAGCCCAACCGGCTCTGTGCTCGGAGCTCTCAGAGGCCGAGACCTGTGGACTTTCCAAGCACCCAGCTGTGTTAGTGCTGCAGAGCTGCATGGGAACCCACGGAAGATCCTCCTCGAGCTCCTTTCCTTAAACCAGAAGCCTTTCTCAGAAAAGCAGAGGGGTCTTCCCACAATGATCTTCCTTCCCTTCCTTTCAAGATGGGATATTACCCTTCTCTCAGCCTCAGCTGACATGGGGCTGCGCGAAGAGAGAGACTTCTCTACAGCTTGACTCCACACCCAGAAACAAGGAATAGCAACATATATCGGTGAGTGGTCTTTTTTTCTGCCAAGATCACCCAGACCAGGTGATGCACTTGTTTCCTCTGAAATAGCCCTGATTCTTGCCCAAGCCATGGCCGTGTGGACCAGCAAACCACAGCTCAGCAATCCACACACCCTGCAAGGTGGGGAGCAGTACTGGGAGTGATCACCTTGCCTTCAGCAATGGGTCACCAGCAAAAGGATGGTGGGACAGACCCACAGCAAATCTGCTCTGCATATCCCATGTGCCCTGTGGCACTGCACAGTTCCTGGTGCCCCCAAACAGGCAGTTCCTTAATCCTGGGGACAAAGAGCCAGCAGTGAGTCCCAAGGTGAGAGCAGTATCCTGACGCCCTACAGCCACAAGACGTCACTTACGTGCCAGTCCTGGGCATGAGCTATAGCGGAGGGGTTTTGATGGGCAATGGGCTCGTCTGGAGAGTCCAGCTCCAGGCTGCTGAAGGGAGAGATGGGAGAGATGGGAGCCCATAAGGTGGGCAGCAGGCATGGGCCTCCTTCCAATGACACAAGAGATCATTTGAGGGCTTGGAGGGTCATATTCAAAGTCACTGTGGTGGTGACAACCATGACCCAGATCCCCTACAACCTACACCCCTAACACGGGAGTCCTGGGTCAGCTTTCCTGGACAGCCCGGGGATGCTCTCACGGTGGTATGGAGGGGCATGAGAGAGCCTGAAAAGCCCAGATGGAGTCAGATCAGGAGCTTGAAGCTCTCCTTTCTCACACCACACAGCTCGGGCTTGCCTAGGAACAACCCACCCATAAGTGTGTGGACCCTGGGCAGCCCAGGGGACCTTCCCCTCGGGGTTTCGGTGCCAGCAGTCTTACCGGATAACCTTCCACACAGTCCTGCCCTTAGGCCCCATTTCTAGCACAAGGTCGCTCTGCATCACCCAAGCTGAGGCTTGGGGAACCTCGCGCTCACCCCCTTGGCTTCCCAGTGGGAATGAGAGCCTCTGCCAAGCCCAGAGAGGCGCCTGGATCTGGCAGCGCTTGTGCGAGCCGGGCCCCTTCTCGGGGCCGCGCAGCCGCACCCAGCTGTCAGCGCAAGCCCCGCGCGCTCGCGCGCACGGGAGATTTGTCCATAATTAGGCAATTAAGGATTAGGTGTTTTGGAGAAAGCGCACATCGTAAAGGCTTTGCACAAGTCTGAAAGCAGACCTGGGAGCATTCTTGGAGTACAAAGGTGCATGGGAAACCTTGCCGTGGTGAGAGATCAAGCCCGATAAGAGGAGTTACAAGCCTGAGAAACACACTCGATTGCAGGGCACTGAAGATGCCTGGTTATCTTTTCCTTCTAGATAAGTCAGATAAGCAGAGGACAAAGGACTTGGGATTATGCAACCCGGGCTGTGTTAGCTGGGCCATGTTCTTAAGATGTTCTCCGGCGAGCAGGCGAAGAAGGGAGGATGAGCAAAGCTGCAGGCCAGGTTAAGTTGCTACAATCTCTCTTTGCTTCCCGTTGTGGGAGAAAATCTTGCCCGATCGTGTGCAAGGAGCAATATTTTCTGTTGCTTTGGCATGCGGCTGCCATGCCTCTAGCTCCTTCCTGAGGCACTTTTGGCGTGACACTGATGTCAGCAGGTACATGCACAACCCTGGAAACCCACAGCCCCGAAAATGTCACTTGGTTCACAGCCCCGACGTGTTTTTATTTCATATGAGCAAACAAAATTCTTCTGAATAGGAGGAGTTGGCTGGCCCTGAACCCAGCCATGTGCGGGAGGCATTTCTGGCTAGGGACTAGGGAGGGCAGGGAAGCCCTTGGATCCATCGATGCAGATTCTTGAGGGCCTGTCCCCTTCCCCAGCCGTTAGGGCTGTGTCCCCAGTTATTAGGGGCCTAAGTACTGTAGATGAATGGCTGCAGCTTGCTGGGCAGCCTGCTGGGCAGCTGGGGATGCTAAAGAAGTTTGCAGAGCAGATTAAGCTGCTTCAGGAGGTCCCCCGGCCAAGGCATGGGACACACGTGGGTTGCACTGTGAGTGTGAAAGGGACAGTGTGAGGACTGCCTGCCCTGGCCCCCATGGCAGTAAAACCACTCTGATACTCCTGGCAAAGTCAAATGCTGTAAATAAGGAAGGAAGGTGGGAAAAAAATGGAGCTAGTATGAAGGTTTTGGACACAGCATGGCCTCCTGCACCCCAAGGCTGAGGAAGATCCTTGTGTGGTGGAAGGAGCATCAGCCCTGGCTTGCAGTTGCTGCGAAGCTCTCCCAGCTGCCCTCTGCCATCTCGCAGCTCTTTCTCCTGCCTCTCACACCGAGGGTTCACCGGGGCTCAGCCACGGAGCCGTGTGGTGCAACCTCCTGAAGCCAAGGGGAAGGAAGGGAAAGAAACACCGAGTCCCTCCCTGCTGCAGGACAGTGAGTGGGCCACGGGCCACAAGGAAGGGACAAGGTAGCAACACAGCCAGCCTGCCTTGCTGCCATTCCAAGCGGCCTGCCCACCCCACGCCATCCTGCCGGCAGCACGGGGACTTCCCAGAGACCACAGCTGCTCCTCTGAAAGGTCACAGGGCTCCCACAGCTGCAGGGTGCAAAGTTTGAGGAAAACAAAAATAGACTCTGTGGAAGGGGAGAGGACACAGAAAATACTAGAGGTTGCTGGGTTGCTCCTGGGGTGGGAGCAGAGTGCGGAGGTCTGGAGCAAGACTCCCCTATTTCTCCCGGCTCCATCCCCAGCCGTGCAGGTGGATTCAAAGGAATCATCCTGCTGAGTGCAAGGGGCAGGAGGACCCCAGCACCAGCTGAGTTTTCCAGCTGTATCTCTCAGGAGAGACATCCCTGATGTCTTGTGCTTGTCAGTCTCAAATGCCAGCAAGGCCATGTGAGCAACCAGCTGATGGGTGGTCCCCTAAGTCCAGCCCGGTTTGCCCCTGTCTGCCACCCCTCAGGCTCCTCAAGATGTTGTGCTGGACTCTTCGCGCATCTCTGTTGCTGTACCCGAAGCCTCTGCTTCACTCTAATTTGGAGAGGCAGAGGGAGGCCCTGCCAGCAAAGCAATGCTATGGATGTATCAAAAGCAACAGTTTCTCAAGCCAGTGAAGGCCAAGGGGACCAGTTTGCTCAGACCTGCCATACCTGCACCATGGGTGATGCGGAGCAGGTTTTTAAGGCAGATGATGGTCAATTTCTGACAATTTCTGACACCTCCATCAAAGCCCTCATGCAGGGAAAACATGGCTATATCAGAGAAAATGTTCCTTAAAACCTGGGAAAGTCCAGGTTATTGCACGATGAATAATTTGCCTTTCATCACTTGGAAGCACTGTCATGAAGATGTGGGAGCCAAACTGAGTGGCACTGACTGAGGTTTTGTTGCAATGAACTCCAAAACGTAAGCAACCCTGGGGCTCTGCAGCTACAGGCTGTGACTCCAAGATCACCTGGGGAGCTGCACACTTATATCAGAGGTTTCTCTGGCAGAAATTGTCCCCTTGCATGGCTGCGTTTGCCTTGCTTTGGCCCTTGGCTCCATTTGCCCCTGCTCACACCCTGCTTGCTTCTTCTGGGTGGCTGGAAGGAGCATTTTCTCCCTAAGGAACTCATTGCTGGACAACCAGCATCATCTGACCAGTCCTGAGGAGTTTAATCCATGCCCAGCGGCACGAGTGAGACAATGTGACCCTAGGAGGGCTTTGCTTTGGGCCAGGTACTCCTTGCCTAGCTGTGGCCATGACTGGATGCACATGAGTTAGTTAACCTATATTTTGTATCTCCACTGCAGCAAAACACTTGTCCCTGTCTGGGTGAGTTCAGTCCTGTTGCAATGTATAAGTTAGTGAGATGCAGCCTAGCCAGGTCCAGAATATAGCAGGGAAGAAACAACGGGAACGAAGTGCTGAGATTTGGGAGGGTGCAGCACCCACCTTGCCTGTCCTCCTGGGAGCTGCTTTGGTGACCCTGTCACTGGGAGACACTGAGACATTTTCTGTCCTTGACCTCTCCATGTCTCAGGACACAAGCTGGTAACATCTCACCCAACCCAGCAGGCACATGGCTCCATGTCCTTCCTTCGGGGGAGGCTGCATCTTTCTGTCACATGGGAAGCAGGGCTGGAGGGGGATCCAGGTAGAGGCAGAGGAAGAAGAGGAGCCTTACGGAAACCCAGGCAGCACAGGGGAGTTGCAGATGTGATGTAAAGGGCAGAGAAGAGAGGGGGCACCACAAGAGTGGGGGTGCAGGAGCACAGAGGCGTTGACTGAAAGATGACACGTGAGACATCCCCAGTGCCATCGCCTCCACACCGAGGGGACTGGAGAAACCACTCACAGGGCTGAACAAAAACCACAGTATTTCTATTTCCCATACTCTAAAACTGGCTGAACAGGCCGGGCTGGTCTCTGCGTACATATAAACAGTGAGTGCCCTCCCAGGAGAAACCTCTGGGAGGATGCCCTGGCCTTTTGGAAAGCGCTGGCTCCCAGCTGCCAGCGCCATGGGAAAAGCCACCCTGTCATGTCCCTCCAGCCGCAGAGCCACGCACACGTCTCCCAGCAAAGCCGCAGCCTTCCAGGAGCGCTCGGCAGCCAGCGATCCCAAATGATGCTGTGTTGGTCCCACCTAGTGCCTATCACATACAAGGGGAAACTGAGGCACGGAGAGGTCAAGGACATGCTTGGAAGCTGTTGAGAGAAGTTGGGCTCCGGAGTGGCGCAGGCAGCGTGCGCGTCCCCATCCCGGCGTGCCCGGGCGCGCGCACCTCTGTGCGCGTCACTCACCACCGGAACACGGCTCCCTGCCGGAGGGAGCGCGGGAGGGTGAACAGCAGCAGTGCGGAACTAAGAACAAGGAGGCATTTCTCAGCTCACACTCAGTTTCCCAAGCCAGGTAGCGATGGCCTTAGGCTGTCGCTAGGGCCACTGCTGCCATTTCACCTACCAAGAGCATCTGTGGTAGAGGCAATCACGTGCAAAACCCAGCGGAGCTTCTCACGAGGCAGATCAGCTCTTTGCTGTGGGCCTGCCGGGAGGGAGGAGCTGCACCTGGACACACACAAACTTCACCAGGCACAAAGTCACGATGGCAGCAGATCACAGAGAAGCAGGGGCCATTCCCCATCTGAGAGGCTCAGCCTGAGCAGGGAAGGTCCTGTTCTACCCTGGAGACTGGGAGCAGAGCCTGCCCATCTCTCGCCCAAGGCTGGGCTCTCCAAAGAGGGTTAGGAGACCTTGTCCATCTCCTTGTCCATCACTACATGGAGGCATCCTCATCCCATCAGAAAACATTAAGGCGTCACTCCCCGCTCAATAGGTAGGGACAGATTTGCAAGTGTTGAGCACCAGTGTTCATAGCCCTTGTCCTACACTCATCCTGGCCAGGGACTGGGGGAAATCCATGATGCTTTACAACCCATGAACTGCTATCTGGGCCATGCTGCACAGTAGAGCTGGCTGCGGGGCGGTGACTCCAGCCTGGGTGCACTCACCACCGGCACTGGCTCTCTTACTTGCATCGTTGTCCACCACCGCGTGTCTGCTGCCCTCCATCAGCTGCCTCATCCTCTCTTTGGAGACCTTCAGGTACTTGTCGCCGTTGCACGCCTGGTGAAAGAGAGGGGAGTTGGTGAGACGGGGGCCACGCTCCCAGGAGAGCTCTGCACCCATGTGAGCGGCACTGCATGCAGACACTGACACAGGCCTGTCCTACCATGCACAGAAGGGTGGCAGATGGGGAGGAGGCAAAAGCTTTTGGGTTGGCAGGTCCATACTTGGTCACAAAGGCCTCCTTCCCAGAGAGACCCCATTTTTACAGCCTTTAGCCACATCTGGCAGTGGCTCCTTGCCATGAACGCTTGGAGCAGTGCCTGGGACTGGCTCATGCTCTGGGCCTAGAAGCACCTATGGAGGATCCATATGGAAGGATGGGCCAGGCAGAAGGTGACCACTGGGCACAGACTGCCCCAGCACCCTGTGGTGCCCTGGCACACAAGGAGGAACCAGAGGAGGCAGGTGACCCGGCAGACACAGCTCCTGCCCCCAGCTGAACCCTAGGGCAAAGTCGAGCCCAGCCTCTGGTGTAAATGCTCCTGTAAAGAACAATGTTATCAGAGGGGCCTCTTAAAAGCCTATAATAGAGCTATTCATTAGGAGCCCAGAAGTGAGCACAGAAAATTCAGAGGAGCCTTGGGGATTTAGCCCCCTCCCAGCAAGGGAAGCTTTTAGCTTTTCATGCCTGGCAGCCACATTCGAGCACCAGATAAATCCACTGCCCCCTTCCTCCCTGGCCTTTGTCAGCACTTGCGAAGTGCTGCGAAATGCCAGAAACAGAGACTGCCCTGAAGTGCCCCGAAGGATTTGAGCCACAGCTTCAAGACTTGTTCCCTCTCATCTCCGCTGAGATCGCAACGTGAGCCCAGGGGACAAGCTGGGGTCTCAGCTGGTCAAGACCACTCCACTGGGTCCACCTCTTATGTAGCACGAGTAACAGGAAAACACGTTTTCCAAACAGACTTTTGCCCTGGGAAAAGCTCTCCGAGTGGCCTGAGCCCTGCAAGCGCCCTTAGGGAGCCAGTCCTCTCCAAGGGGTTGGCGCCAGGCACAGGGCTCACAAAAACACGGGGCACGGTCAGAGCAAGGTTTCTCCAGCTGAAGTCAGGTGCAGGCAGTAGCCAGATGTGCTCTCCCTGAAGCAGTTGGCACTAATCCTTCCCTGGACAGGGTCTGAACCCGTGCACCGCAGCACGCTCCGCTTCACAGCCTCGCTCTTCTCTTACCCTCCCAGTTTGGGGAAAAAAAAAAAAAAAAGGGAGTGGAAACTACCAGGCAGACTCAAGGCGATTCCCAGGATGTGCTACAACACCTTCAGCTTGTTGTTTGTTTGAAGGGACTGACTTTTTGCTGGCGGAGCATTTTGCACATGCTGCACCCAAAGAAAGCAATGAGACAGGTGCATAACTTTGCCAAGCAGAACAAGTCGCCTGCCTGGGGGTTTGCTTCAGAGCCTTTTGAAACCAGAAAGTCTTTGCATGGCCTGGACGGGCATTGAAGCACCTGCCAGCAGCCCAGGGTCTTTAGCGTATGAGCTGGAATGGTGCTGGGGTCATGGAGACAGGGACAAAGGTGCTCCTTCTTCCCAGCCAGCTGCGGAAGACAGGGAGGTGGCAGGATGACTTGTTTGGAAATGCTCTTGCCATGACGTTCCTGCTCTTGCTGCTCCTCAAGAGATATTTCTACCTGCAATCCATGAAGCGGCTGCAAAAGCAGCGCACAGTCCCCAGCCTAGGTGTGATTTTGGCCACAGCCACTAAGATGCCAGGGCACCCTGAAGTCTCAATGCAGCAGGGCTGGAGATGAGGGTGCAAGCGAGTCTTGTGGCAGCAAGGCCACCGGGGCCACCAGCCCTTCATGGAACTCCTTGTCCCGGCAGCTCCGCACAGGCGCAGCCATTTCCTCCCTCCATGGAGCGCCATGAGGCCCGAATTCGGCCGAGCCAAACCTCCCTCCTCGCCGCGGCCGCCGAGCGGACGAGCCGGCCTCCAGCTCCCACCGAGGGCTGCCCCACGCCGTCCCGCTGTTTGGCACTAGGAAAGCTGCTCTGCCCTGGAAAAGGGCTCCCAAATCCTGCAGCTTCTCTTGCCTTCCTGCCCTACCTCCACCTGCCAGGACCAGAGGGGGAGGAGGAGGAGGAGCAGGGTTAGCTCCAGGCCGAAGGCCACCGCCTTGGCCATTAGTGAGAAACACCTTGGTCGTATCAGCTCTGGCTTTCACCTTGCCACAGCTCAGGGTGGCCACAGCTCCTTGGTGCTCAAAGCCTAAATCCGCTGCTCTGACATCGATGGGGAAATGGAGCAGATGGACAGATGCGGATGGACAAGGCAACCCAAATGATTCCGTGGCTTTGCACCACTTTTAAAGGTAAATTTTATGGGAATTCCCCTCAATTTAACAGCCTCAGGAATCACATACTTGCACACTGCTCCTCGGCACTGTATAGTTTTTGCTTTTTCTCTCTCACACTGTTTCAAACCTCAGCAAATGCTCAGGACACCATGGGCTGATGATGGCCAGGGTCATGCATGGGATCGGGATCTGGGCCACCTCTGTGAGCCCTCTCTTCCCGGGAATGTCCCTCAAACAGAGACCTCCTCCACTTTCACACTGAAAAAGAGGTACCCAGGGGAAGTCAAACTGTGAAACCCCAGGAAAGCAGAAAGGAGATTTTATTTGAGAGAACCTCAATTTTTGGAGGGGCCAGGTCAGCATTTCAAGCAAGAGATGGTTCCTTTAATTTCACTGAGAGTGTGTGTGAGTCCCTTTTAATTTCATGCATGAGGGAGGGCCACATTATAACCTACAGAGGCCAGCCAGTGCCATCTCATCTAGCCTTTTGAGTGCTGAACTGTCTGCAGTAACATAGACTGGAGATACAGCTGTCTCTTTTTGACACATCTGCTGTTTGCCTTTCCTCTCCCTGGCTCTGCTGTGCATGAATTTGGCCACCTTGGGAAGGCCAGCCCCAAATCCCCAACCCTAGGGGCCCTGGGGCTCTGCACGGCAGAGTGGGTCTCTGTCCCCTGTTTTGATTTCAGAGCTCATACGGATGCTGTGAGACAGTCAAAGAGGCTGCTGCCTTCCTCGAGGCGAGCATCCCACATTACACTGGGAAATGAAAGGAGCAAAGAGCACCCTGAGCCACCTGGAGTCCTTATGCGGCTCCTTGTGCAATTCACAGCATTGCAGCACACGGGTGAGCAGGACCGACGGTGGCAGCTTCGCTCCTGACAACACAAGCAGGTCCCAGAGACTCATGCCAAGATCTGGCTGGATTGGTGTCGCTCCTGTCCTCATGGGACAGTGACAAGAGGGGAGCACATCTAGCTAACCTGAGGCAAAGAAAGGGACCAAGGGAGGCTGCAAGCTAGAAAGTAGTTCCTCCAGGTGGGAAAGGTACCCCCCTGTGCCACAGGGACGGCAGCAGGGATGTGGGAGGCATGGACAGGAATGAGGAGGGGGGAAGAGATGGGAAGTTTCCCTTCTCTTGTCTCCTGGGCACGGTTGTGCACTGGACAGATGCTCCAGCTGCAGCCAGAGAGGCTCCAGCCTCCCCAGGCCTCCCTCACAGCCGGGCAGAGCTGGACCCCGCAGGGCCGGTGGCAGCTGCTTCCCCTCTCGGGGCTGCATGGACAGCCACAAAACCCACCCGAGAGCCAGGCTCAGTCTCGGCATTTTTAGGCACGATGTCTCCACGCAGAGCTCCCCAGCAGGGGGAACTGGGGCAGCAGATGGGGACAGCGCGATGTCTCCGCAGCATTTGGCAAGAGGTGCCAGGCCTGCTGGACAAGGACTCCTGGGTCCTGTCATTTTCCCAGGTGCCTTAGGCAGATTTCTCGGCTTTTCTGAATTTCAGCATCTTTATAAAATGAAGCAATCTGTTGCCTTGGGGCAAGTTATGCCCTGGCAGCCCACAGAGCACAGAGCATTTCCCTCTCGCTTGGGGCTCCCACATGCTCTGGTTACAAGGCCATAGCGCATGCCACCTCCTCAGCCTCCAGGCCTTTGCCACTGCCAGCTTCCCCAAAGCAGGGGGCAGGGTCAGGGCTAGATAAACCACTTAGCAGCTGAGCCAATTAGCTGTAATAAAAATTGCAATTATTTTTTTAATGCCTTGCCAAAATGACACATTAGAAATCAAGCGGGGCAGCCTGCCACCTGCATAAGGGCGGGCTGGCTGGCTGCTATACTGGGACCCACGGCCTTGGGCTTGGTGCTCTGCTCCTGCCTGGGGACGCGGCTCTGCAGTGAGGTCTTCTCCATCTCGACTTCGCTGCTGTGGGGCTGGAGCTCTTCTGTGGGACTGTGGGTGCGTGTGGTTTGCTTCCTGCTTTCCTTAAGGGCAGGGAAGGAGGGGCTCTCAAATGGGAAGGATGGAGTTTTCCTCCTCAGGAAGGCAGCTTTTCCCCAGATCCATCACAGAAGGATTAGCCTCCATGGGGTGAAGCATGTATGGATGTAAAACCCTTCACAATGGGGGGACACCAGCGGGAGCCCCATGGCTCCCTGGGCCACTGGCCAAAGGAGTTGCAGCCACCAAGAGCACCCAAGGGTGCAGCCAGGGCAGAAGCTTCCTGCCTGGACCCGCACAGCAGGGCAGGGGCTCCAGAGTGGCACGAAGCTTCCACACCTGGGCCGAGAGGAGCGAGCTCAGCTGGTGAGGAGCATTGACGGGGCTGCACGGCCCCTGCCCTCCCAGGGGCACTGCCCGGCCCCAGCTGCGCTCCCAGCGCTGGGCTCTCCCGGTCCCTCCGTGGGCAGCAGGGAGCAGAGGAGGCCGGGGCAGCGGGAGCCTCTCCTGCCGGGAGCGCACCTCCGAGCAGGAGCCGCGCTCGCTTTCTCACGCTGGGGCAGCCCGTGCCAGCACACGCTTAGTCACCGGTAAATCCCAGACTCGATCTGCCCTCTATGAAACGGATCTTGGCTGCACCCCTGCTGAAGCAATCCCCGTGCTCGGGAGCCATGGCCGCTGCCTTTTCCCACGGCGGCCCTGCTTGCGGCGCCCCGTGTGAATCAGCCCCTCGCCGGGCC